ATACTATGCGTATATGATTCAACATTGGATTATTGTTTTATTATATTAGTCAATTTTAACATCGAATTTATTCTTGGGGTGCTTACGAAGAAGCGCTCGGGGTTAGGTTTTGGTATAGTTCACGTAACATATGCTATACCAAAATCTAACCCCGAGCTAACTCCGAGCCCTTCTTCGTAAGCACCCTTGGTGACTTAAAAAACTTGCATTAGAAATTTCTGTAAAAATTTGAAATTAAAATTGTATTAAAACTGAATAGTGTATATTGAAATTTTTAATAATTTTCAAAATCAATAACTGTTTGATAATTGTTCAAATTCGGACAATTATTTCAAAGATATATATGAAATAGAGTCATATAACTATTCAAATTGTTGACTTTTTTTAATAATATTTATTTTTACAAGCTCATATATCTCTTTTGCACTATATGCTAACAAAAATGACAAGTTACAGTAAATATAGTGTTCAATTCATTTCATTCTGTTTCATTGTATATAAAATATTAGTTATTTAGTCTTATTGTTAGTAATTTCTCGGTTATTATTCTGTATTAGACACGTTTGGGACATAGCACATTGATCATAGTTTATGAATTATGGAGAATTAGGTATTTGACCCTATATTTAAATTTTCGTAACTTTTAATAATTATCATTAATTTCATGTTTTCGAGAGAGCAATTGTGATTCTTCGTATGTGTAAAACGTAATTGAATAGTAAAATTTAAACAATTAAACAGTCTATGCGAGTATATCGACGCCTTTTTTCCGTCACGCGGAAAGAAAAACTCGATTCGCATGAGCGAACAGGCTCGTACGCGCAAAGCATCGGGCGTTATGCAACTGCATCATTATTTTGACGTAAACGAGTGCGCGAGGGACATGAACAAAAAGAAATGACGGGCTCGAATCTATCGGCCCGGCGCCGCGGCGTATAAACGCCAGCTGTAGCGCGCGGGCCTTTATTCGTTCTCAATAGGCGAAAAGTGTCCTTATCAAACGTGTCAACAGCACGTTCCGAACGCAAAATCCGACCACGCGTGCCGCATCGACTGCTCGCGCGTGAATTCCACGCAACTTTGTCGTCATGACGCGGCGCACAGCTTGAACAAACGTATCAATGAAGGTTGCGAAAGACGGCAGAATAACGCGAATTGTCGGTAGCATGTAGTTACACGCATCAATGCGATATCTCATCACGGAAGTTCTAGGAAAGACCATATTACTGACAATGTCCATATTACTGTCAATCAAAACTTAAAGTTTAAAATATAAAAACTATACCATACGTTATTGCATTAAATTTCAATAGAATTTTTAACAAGCCTAATTATTGTTATAACGACTAATCAAAAATAAAAACCAATCCAGTAATTACAAAAAAAAACTTAAAGTTCGAGAAACTCGTTTTTCTTTCAGGCCACGTCCATTTTTATTAATAGAGTAGGTAGAAAGAAGCTATATACAAAGATGACTGATTATGGAAAAAATTTAAACAGTAAGTCTTACTAAAACGCATTTCTTAAATGATATACTATTGAAATTAAACAAAAAGAATTGAATAAAGTATTGACTTTATAATATAATTATTAATGTCAATAATACATTTACTTTCTTTGTGCTTTTTCTGGACCTACCATTAACAGTATTACGGACATTAATCAAAATGAACATAATAGTGGTTCTTGATAAATTGCGGATATAACTTCTTCGTTTCTGTATATATTATCTACCGCAACTGTGTTACCTTAGGATTTTAAAATTTCTAATATACTTGAAACCTTTTAAGAATCTTTTTCATTCTCTCCAATAGTTTTTGTAATACAAACATTGGCTAATAAAATATTCCTTAAAGCTTTTATCTTACAATCTGTCTTTTGTCTTAAGAAAAAAAAAGAAGTCCTGAACTTCTTCCCGAGACTCTTCTGACACAGTAATAAAAGAACTTAACCCTATCTAAATGGATCTTGTCCTATATACAATCCCTTACCCTGCATTCATATTTTTTAGTAACTCTATAGACTTCTTCTTTCGAAAAATCGCATTAATCACTACTTTTGATATTAGTAGGCATATTATTGGGTATTGGCTGATGTTATATCCAAATTCTGCTCTTTTTAATAAGCAAAGATCCATCTCGAATTAAATTTTTCAGTTCTTGTCGGTAACTTATAGCGAACACACTTCGATTCAATATGCTACTGGTAACATTGCTTGTCAAGTATATTGTCTCGCGCTGAAAACTATTCAGTTATTATTCTGATACGTGTAGAGCTTAACGTAAATTAAATAATTATTATATAATTAATCGTTTCAAACATAATTGACGTGATTAAACATAAATTTATTGGTATTTGTGTATATATATATGTATATATGTACATATACATACAGTAGACCCCTGCATACACGGAGAATGCGTTCCATGTATATGAAGCGTGTTATATTTACAAGTCATATAGATTATACATGTCTGGATTATGTAGGTATACATATGGAAACACATATTTATAAAAGAAGTAAAGAATTATTATAAAAAATGTCAAATAAATGTAACGGTAAAATATTTTTTATTGTACTTTAAAACAGACAGATATTAAAAATTTTCCGTCCTGTTATACGAATCCGTGTTATATGGAGATCTACTGTATATACATATGTAGGATAAAATATATAAAAAATATAGGTGAATGTTTAATATATCAGTAATGTCGCATATTTTTCACAAACGGTCCCTGATTTGATCCTCGTGAGTCATGAAAAAAAAAATCCAGGAATAGAGAAACGCGTTTTGATGCGTAGTTGGAATAGTAAATTTCCAACTACTCAACTACCTGATGCAACCTTGCTCTTTTCATTCTCGCAGGAAACAGTAGGATTGGCAAAATGTTGAGAGCTGCGATACGCATGTTGCCGCAGCTCAATGCGAGTCGAAAACAATTGGTAGCTGTAATGAGATTGGCTACCACCCTGACTGCCTTGCATCAACTGCGCACAAACCGCGCGGCTGATGCATTTCTAGGTGGAGGCTCTACGTCACCACCGACGAAACACTATTAGCCTGATTGGGAGTACCAAGGTGAAAACATTTGTTGGTGCGCGATGATCAAACAAGCTCCCTCGTTAATGACGTGTTACGGTCGCAGTATGAGCCGTTAAACACGGACGGAATATCCAAAGCTGCAGAAATTGAATCTGATTCTACAATTAGACCTGTAAAAGTACAGCGCCGATGAATATTTATAAAAGCCGATCATCGTAAATACGATTCCGAGTACCCGGCGTGACCAAACTCACTGTGATGATTAATTTTCCAAACGTACTCTGTTGTATTTTTCATTACGGGAATATTGATAGGGGATTGGATTATCATGTAAATATTGTAAATATATAATAATGTATCAGATGAATTATTATATAATAAATTACACATGCATAATAATCATTATTTATTATATATAACAATTATTATACAAAATAACAACGCATTTGATGTGTATATTAGTATCTCATAAACAAAAGATTCGATTAAAACTCTATTTTGCTTAAACCAATTGCGTTGGTTACTTGATTTCTAGTTTGAAGAGGATAATGTGCATTTTTAAGTATTTTCGATATTTCTTGTAAAAAACATAAAACGAAAGTACCGAATTCAAGATATTTATTTTACGTCTCGACTCATTTAGATCGAACGAGTTTATTTGCAGGAACGACTGTCCAAGGTAGAACGCTGGAAATTGAAGATGCGATAAGAGGAGCGCACTTGCACCCTTCGCGTCGTACCGAGGACAAGAATCAAATTCTCAAAAAGTGCGAGATCTTCCTATCAAGATTTTGTTACGAAAAAAAGAGATCTTCAGAAATTAAAGAAAAGAAAAGAAGACTGAGGCAGGGAATGATACGAGGAGAACAGAATAAGGAGAATGCACTTTGTAACTACATAAAATGGTGCAACAAACGGCGATAGGATATATAACGCGCATTAAATGTTAACGGAAATCGATACTTCCAACCAGGAAAATCTTACTCGTGTGTGTGTGTGTGTTTGTACGCGTTATAAAAAATTTGAAACTTCGATCCATCGAACGTAATAAAATTTTCTTTAACGCTGCTTTCGTAACGAGAAGTCTCCTCTGGAGTTGAAAATAACTCGCTTGTTTAATGCAACCGTCGTAGGGTCATTGTCCTCCAGGAGATCAGAAACGGAGGGAAAGAGAAAGAGAACGAGACGAAGTTTTCCGCGAGATGGAAACGAAGGAAAACAACATTTCTTCCGGTCGTCTACATGCCAAGGGTTAAAAAAAAATATATCGTACAATATGTTACAGAAAAAAGTGCAACGAGGTCAATTGACGTCGAGGTTCCTCTTCGGACACTCGACGGTTTTCCGCGCATCTCAAATGCCCGCGGAGAAAAAAAAAAGCTTAATAACGAGAAACAGAAGATGGGGCGTGCTTGCAACAAAAGGGGATGGGAAAAACGTCTCCGACGAGAAGGAACCAGTTTAATTTCTTTAATCTGGTTTTCCATTTGGACGACTGAGACTTTCTGCGATGCGAATAAATACGAATGTAAGCAAATTGCCGAGACTCGTGTCTTTTGTCTGTACACCTTTTGCGAGTTTCTGAAGTTAAATAGTATATCGCCGTGAGATAGTGACGACGTTATTTACGTGAAGCTCGTATTATCTCTGCGCGCTGTCAAGCAAGTTGCAATTATTTCTCGCTATTTATTAAGGCAATGCTAGTTAAATATTACTATTAATTAAATACATATTCGTAATTAACGATGATAAAATCAAGGAAGGAATTTCTCTTTCCAGCGGATTCAACGCGCAGCTCTCTCTCTCTCTCTCTCTCTCTCTCTGTCGCAGGTATCCCGATATCAGAGACATTCCAGAGATTTCCTCTCTGATTGAGATCCGAATCGACTGGTAACGAGAAACCGTACAAAGGACGCGAGCGCACGTTTGTGAGGCTATTGATCGTCACTTTCTTACCTGGCGATCCCGGTGTTCCTCCCACACCTGTCGTTTCCGGAATCCAGCCTCGTCCATGCTCCGGAAGCGCACCGGGTCCGCAGTAGAAGAAAATTGACGTTCTTTCCGCAATTCCGCCAACTGCGCGTAGCGTCTTAAAGCTTCCATCAGGCGTGATTCCCCGTATGATCGCAGTTGAAATTAGATTTGCTTGTCTTCCCAGTGGAGCTTGCAGAACACTTCATTTTACGAATCCGTTGTCCAAGGGCACTTTTCACGCGACACCATTTACTCCTCCATATACTTTCCTTTTTCACTTAACTGGTTGCCGCTTTATCAAGGGAACAAAGCGTTGCTTTGCACTGCGCTAGCGTTATTGCACAGCGGAAACGGCGCTAACAGAATTGTTTATTCCACGGCAATCCTGTTCGTTGTTATTTCATTAAAACGTATTTTTCTACACATTCGTTCATTGATTTGATTTCCTTTTCTCTCCCTCAGAAATGCTCGTTCATCTCTTCTTCTGCAAATAAAAATATTCGTCGCTTCGAGATCATTCTTTTTCTTCTTCAGGGAACGATAATTCCTGGAATTCATGTGTTAATCAATATCTACGTATACAGAACGACTGTTGTAAAAAAAATTCCTTTTGACTCTCCAAATTCCTGTCATTCCATTTTAGCGCATCATAATTGCAAACAATATTATAATGCAATGTTAGAATTTATAAGAGTGTTAAAACTATCTAGATTCTCTAGAATTTACCCTTATTGCATCAGATTTATTGATTATATATCAATATAAAGCTATCAAGCGCTATCAAGGCCATCAATGTACGCCCATATTTTTTATACCCGGCTTTAAAATGGCATACGTCCACTTATTTGCATTGCATAAACTTCCACTCTTATTACATCAGATTTTCAATATCAAACTTGTACGTAGTTATTAATCATAGCTTATAGCTATCGAAGGTGTCATTATTGTTAATAACGTACACCTCTTATTCTTCATATATCGTGTTATAATACAACAAAAAAAGATTCATTGACTTATTAGCATTATGTAAATTTCTTCCTACATAAATCCATGCAATCTCGAAAACTCTTCGAACGTTTTATTATTTTTACAACCTTACTTTTCTCCCCAATATCTCTACGTCGAAACATTTGGCCCTTCGCGTTTTTATATCTACGATGAAATCGAGGATTACACGTAGGGTAGGTCCTCTTTTCATCGCGAAAGACAGGAAAAACAAAACGCTGATCTTTATTGGCCCGCCGAGACAGGCTTGTTTCAACAAGATATCGCGAGAGGCTGTTTAGGTGGCACGGATTTAACTTTGCTCCCGTTCCTCAAATGCTGAACCCATTTTTTCCACCCTCGCCCTCTTGTCCTTGTTGCTTTCCTTTGACCGGCTTAACTGAATCGTTCTGCGATAGATTCCGGCATATTTAATTGCGAATAACTGAGCCGTAATTAATTTCGTATTAGGAGCGAATCTGTTGAAATAATTATTTAGCGGGGCGCGGCGCACATCCACAGCCGATTACAATTTTATTTTAATTAACAGTAAAAGTGGTTCAACGTAGAATTGTTCGGAAAATTAAATTACACAATTTTTACATGATTAAAAAATGCTATTTCTATTTAATTAAAAAATGTCAAGTATTGATCAGTCTGACTTAATTGACTAGAATTTTTTCGGTTTCGTATGTTTTTCGACGAAATGGCTATTCATATCCGGATAATAGCGATCCGTAGGGATTATAGGTCACAATGGTGTTATCTATGCAATGAATCTCATGAGACATTCAGAGAGCTCGTAGCAAATGCGACAACGTCGTTGAACAAGATCGTGAACATCCTAACGTTTTCAGTGTTGCCATTTTGTAATTTATACCGATATCCCTCACATCGTTTCATCAAGGTGGCTACTGCTTTCCGATAACGAAATATCGACCTACAACAAGGAAGGGCTCGAGTGGCTCTACGACCTAAGAAGAAGTATCTCCTATGTTACAGCAACATTTTTCATGTCTTATAGCTTAAAAAAAAAATAAAAAACTTACGATCTTCCGTTCAGTCGTAGAGATATCCTTTCGATCTCATTTTGTCAGAGATGCGTATTATATTGCAGAAAATATTTTATTTTTCTTACGACGGGGTCTATGAAACTTGTACTCTCAATTTGACAATCGTTCTCCTCCTGCTCGAGAAGCAAAAATTCGAACAAAGAACCTTTGGAAGAAAGCGATGCGAATAGAATTCCGTGATACCGAACAATCCTCGCGCGTGATCGACATTTTTGCGTTGCGAGGAAAAATTACGGTACAATGGTGACAAACTTTCTCTCGCACGCTTCCGCTTTCCCGTCTCTCGTCGAGAAACGTCGAACAATTTTTATTTTCGCGTCGAATTGGTGAAATCGCCACAAAGCAGTTCAAGCGGCTCGGACCAATCGTCGAGATGGCCGCAGGAAAGGATGCACTTCGAATTCGGGAGTAATGAAATTTATCACTGCACCGTGACCGGAAACGATAATCAGCCGAAATACGCTCCTTCCAAAACAATTTCGTGAATATCATAAAATTTTTAATTCACCATTATTTACACTGTACTAGTCACACTGTTATCGCGCGTATAAAATGAAAGGGCGACCCCAGAGCCACAGTTCAAAATTTGCTTTGATCAAGTATCTTGCATTTATTGGCATAAATTAAACGATTAAAGTGAAAGCTAATTAATGTGATTTGGATACTTTTATCTATGGAGTCAACCGGATACTTAGGAATAAATTACCGGTGCGATTAACGCGACGGCTCTCCAAAGACTTTTGAAAATTCATGACTCAAAAGAGCAGCGGGCGTACGGTAGAAAAAATTTAGCATACACTTGGGATCATGGGATTCTGACGAACGTCGTGTATTATTGCTTCGATAAAGATAAAAATAAAATGTATATAAACGTTTGACAAGCTTTATATGCCTCGAATATGAGAAATGTACCACTGATAAAATCCTTCTTTCGTTATTTCGACACGAAAATTTCACAATGAGTAAATATAAAATCGAAGCATTTTATAAAAATTAAATCTCCCTTCGTCATTAATTTATATTAATAGAAGTCTAATAATTCTTTTTCCATTAATTAACTACAACGAAAATTACATAATTTAATTTTACCGTTATTTAATTAAAATATTTAACGCTCTCTATATTTGTTTCTTAATCGACCTACTGCTAATGCATATTTACATATTAAAGCACGTTGTTGTGTTTCGCGAATTCGGATCTTCATGTAATCATCAAATAAGTGGAGGGATGAGATGAGAAGGGAAATTAATATTCGTATATGTCCAAGTGGGTCGCGCACGAGGGAAGTAATATCAGCAAAATTATAACGACGACCGTGTAATAATTATGCAGCTTTTGAAGCTCGTAATATCTTTAACCTCGCACCTTATATAGATGAGTGCGCAGTTGGCCGCTGGAGTAACTTCAAGACTCCGTAGCCGTTTCTCAGGACAAAAAAACAGCCGCGAAAAGAAAGGGACTGAGGGAAAGTGGGAAATAGAAGCTACCCATTACAGTACGATGCGTCAGATTGCGTCGTATCGCGCGATGTATATCGTCGCGGTGATAAATGATGATCATGCTTTCATAACGGACAATTTCTTACGACGCCGATCTAAATCATGAATGAATTATTCTGCAAAATTTCAACGTTTCAAATTATTATCAATCGCTCTTTTTAATAATAATAATTCTGCACATGTTAAGGTTCGATTTTAAATAATATTAAGTATTTGACTTTTAATTTTACGCATATTCTGCATCTTAATTTTATGCGTATTTTGTAATTATGAATACTGAATTACCGTTATTTTAGTCTCTGCATGATTTTAACAAGTATTATAATTAAACATACAAATGAAACATTGAAACTCAATCGTGTGACCTCGCCTATGCGCTATATGTAGACGAGAAGGCGAGGTCAGGCGATTAAGTTTTAATTTTTCATTTCTGCATGCAGCAAATTCAAATTACACAAATGACAAATTCTGCGATAATTAGTCTGTATAAAAGGAAAGCGAAGCAGAAAGGAATATAAATCACACACAGAGACGCAAAATTAGTGGGTCAACTTAATGGAGAAATTACGGTGGGGTAATTTAGAAATTGCTATACGAACGGTATAATGGTATCGTTCGAACAACAAGCGGAGATATATATCGGCTGGAAGAAGCTGCAACTACTAATCACGATGGATTTATATCGTTAGATTATTCGCCTCGTATACACCTTGCCAATTTAACACTCAATTTGATGATTATCAGTGCTTAACGGTGTATTTACTGAACATCGAACGATACAGATGTTCAAAAATTTTCTTTCTACTCAATATAAAAATCAAGAACAATAATGGTGACAGCAAATGTCAGACGATAAATGTACACCCGAGAGGAACGAATCGACAGGGAGGCGGACTTGATATCGAGATACCTCGTAAAATTTCCCTTCGGAATGTTCCGCGAAAAATATTTTGCGCATTTGCATCCGTGGTACGCGCTTTATCGAAATTCGATGATTCGAGGACGTTTGAGTGCCAGGGAAAACAGATAAACTAGCCAGACAGACGCGGAAGCGGAGGTCAATGTCCTCGAAAAGGCGCGTATCGCAGGGTCGTATCGGAGATCCGCAGCTTGCAACTCGGCAGAGGGAACTCGATACGTATAAAAACTCGAGCAGAGGATCAGTAATAACGACCACGTGCCATCATTTCATGCGAAAGTTTTTTCGCGAGAAACGAAATGTACCGTCGTCGTGTGCGCGTTTGAGAGAGAAATTCAGAAATCAGATCCAAACAAAACCGTAATTGTATTTTCTGCGCAACGATAATTCAGTCGATGTCTGGTAAGCTCTTCGCGGAGCGTGCCTGCTCTTCGCTTTGCTCAGAGGCGTTCGTGTAAATAAAAATTCGCAGAATCCCCGAAGGAGAAAAAAATAAATCTCCCTCTTTGCGAAATACGATTGTCAAATGCACAATCCACGCAATCTCGTTTGCTCCGCGTATATTCTCACCAACTCAAGGTCGAAGAGCACTCCAACAGAGAATGCGCGAATAAAAGGATCGAGGTCCCAAATTCGCGAATGTAGCGGAATATCCACGCGAGCACACGTATACGCACTCGCTTTGTGCCGCAGTACGCACTAAAATCTCTATATCTCT